CATTACTCTATTAAGAATATTACCCCCTATTTTTATATTAAAATCTTGATTTTCATCAATATTTAACTTTGATCTTGTAAATAGCATATAATTTGTCTTGTCTATATTTAAAGAAAGTTTATTTGATTTGAACCATTCTAATGTCTTTTCCATTTCTAAATTTACATTTCTATATACACGGGTGATATAGATCATGAAGATTTTTGTTAGAACATAAGATATTTGTATCATCTAAGTTGTTTATTTTCTTTCATTGAATGAATCCAAACTTAACAGCTATTTCAATTATGATATTGCTTTAGGTTCCGTAGACCTGTTGAAGACACTGACCCTATTGGTATAAGAGAGGCCGGCCATGGAATGAAGATTGACTGAGTCCTCGAACGCCTTTGTCCCAATTCAAAAGCATCACCATTAGGATCAGCACCTCCGGGCGTAGTAGAGATATCCATATCCGACACCTGTTTGATCCTAGATTCGTCTCTTTAAATATATCCGAAATTCAATGCTACAGGATTTATTCAGAGGGATTCATTCATGTCCTCGTTATGATGAAGTTGTGAATTTGAAATGTTACCTAATTCGAGAGAATCGCCATCGCCTTCTGTAATAATATTATCCTCCAATGTTTGGAGAAAATAAGGCGATGTTATCCATATGAGGTGCCCATTGAGAGATTCCCTGTCTTCACAAACTAAGATCAACCAGTTTAACACATTGAGAATCTCAAAACATCACCTTGTGTTTTTCCAATCAGAATTATCGAATTTACACCGTTTGAAAAAGTTTATTTTCAAAATAGCAGGTTTAGCTATACCTTTAGGTAGATAATGACAGATGTATGGGAACCGTATATCTTGTTATCCCTAATTTAGTGTAGCAACTTATAGCATCTAAATTGAAACATGTCTTATCATTGAAACAAAGGTCGATTGTTCAGGCGCCACAAAGAAAATGATAAAGCCCTAATCAAAAAGAGAGGGTAGACGTGTGAATGAATGGGAGGGCGAGGGAAGGGGTCGATAGGGTAAGGAAGAAGAGGGAAGAGGTGGGGGTAAAGAGGGGGAGGGGGCAAAGAAATGCACAACCCTTCTTTACCCCATCACCTATATTCAAAATCAAACGAATCCCATGAGTTTTAACTTCCATAACATATGATCACCCAAACAATCGTAATGAACACAAAACGCAAGGGGTAACATTTGAAGAATGAAAACTCACTGAATGAATCGCATCAACCTAGATAAGCAAAATAAAAACAAACGATATCTAAAACGATGTATGATATTAAAAAACGATTCCTCCAATTTTAACAAAACAGAAAAATATATGATCCATACAGTCCCACATCAGAGAGAAGAGAATAAGTAGCAGCTTGAGAATATGTCGGGTGGAAAATGAAAATGTAATAAAATGATCATTGTCTCATTAATAATTAATTTTTTCCATATTCCACGAAAAGACATGATGACATACAATAAGAAGCAGACGCTATTCAAAAAGCGTAAAGTGAAATAGGCCGGAAAATAGTTCACCTATATCCTACTGAATGCCAAGATACTTACACCCGCAGAATCAATATTATGGTGGCTGTGTTTTATACAGAAAAATAACATAGATTGAGTGGACGTGTTTGGACTTAGATCAACAGTAATTAATCGACACTCTTAATCATAAACACCACATGTAAAAAATCTGAGAGTATTCGAATTAATTTTAACGGAAGGAAAAAGTATGACTTTGGAGATTTTCAGAACTGGTTTCGTACTCGCCGCATAAACCTTCCAAATCTCTATTTCGGTTTGGGTCAGGTGATGTTCTATCGCGACACGGCCCAATTGATTAAAGAACCATAAATACTGGAACATTGTTTATATCAAGGGCGTCAATGATCAATGCTAAGAGGAAGGTTATAACCTAGGGTTCAAAGAAGATCGTCTTCAATGTAAATCTGTATTGAGAAGAGATCGTCGCTGATTCAAATCCGCAACAGACAGACAATGGCAGTTTCAAAATGTTCCAAACACGCATCAAATGCTATTCGAATAAGCTTTGGGGCTTTCCCTCATCTTATCAATACTCCACCCTGGTAATGCATTTAAAGCAAGGAGGATCGGCTCCCAGGGTTCCAACTTGATATTCTGCCATATATGGAGATGTCGTGATTACAAAATTCGAATTCAATTCAGACGCCATTTTTTACGTCAGAACGTAGAAGACATATCTACACTGGTATTCAATAATGGTGAAAGTGATATAGAAATGCCCTTGATGCTGTTTCATTCATTTCATTACATTTATTTGAACTACCTGATGCTGTAAACATGGGGAGTACCATATTAAAATTCATGAGGTGAACTATTGGTACCATGTCAAGATGACATTTCCCCTGACCTTGAACTTGACAAGTGCATTTTAACCACCTTAACGGACATCAAACAGTGACTCTTACGTACATCAATCAGAAACTGAAAACGGAAAAACATTTAATCCAGTGATCATCCAGTGAGAGCTTTATCTACATGTACAAAGAGAACCTTACTGCAGCCTTGATCATAAATAAACCTCATCAATCCAGGAATTTCAAAGTTATTTATGATTTTCCTTGGCTATCATTCACAATCACTAGTAATTATCACAGTTATAAACGATTACAGGTGCAATTAGGGGATACCACAAATTCTAAGAAAACATGCAATTAGCAATTATAGAGGCAGAAAATAATCGCGTTCGGTAATAGCAGCGGACAATGCTTACCAGACTCTATTTAGAAATCTTGGTTAATAAGAAAAGTATTCTTTATGATCTAGTTAAAAATCACACCAGGCAGAGGGAAATATTTTCACGGATAATGAAATCGTAAAATTACAGGAGTTCTCGTATAATATTATGGCATCTGTTTTGATATACCTCATTCAGTTGCTTGCTGATTCTGTATATAGCTAAAGTTGATTTTTCGAGGTAAAGATTAAAGATATATGACCCATCTTTTAAACACCATGTACCTTAAATAACGTATTATCATGACTGTAATACGCAGCATTTTGTAGAAATCAGGATTGTGACATCGAAAGTGCTGATTTATAATGTTTTTTTTTGAAAAATATAGATATGCCTACATCAATATTCTATAGTACCCCACACAAGTTTTTGTCGCACTCAATTTTTGTTAGAGGATTCAAGTAATATTGGCGGAGTATAAGTCATTTAAAATGATTGAGTAGGGACCGAATTTCAATTTGGAATAAAATTAACTTTTACCCCAAATATGCTATATAGTGCACCAAAATTATGTTATCTCTCTTGACGTAATGTGATGGCGAATATTCAAGAATGTCAAATTTTCCACGAGACACAATATTTGCATAAGGGATGGAAACGCGTACAGTATTTTCGAAAACCGCTATTTCATTCAAAGTGAAACATTTTTTATACGTTTTGCCTTTATCTGCAACGGGCTATATTTTAGCAACGCAAGTGTAACGTTAGCAGACCGACCTTTCTAAACTACGAGTACACGTACATGAGTAAATGATTTTAAGTTTTAATTCATGCTAGATATTTTAAGTTAAGGTAACTGATACCACTATAGCAATTATATTATTTTAGTTTTATTATCCGGGTTCCAGCATAGGATATCTCCCATTTACCATATCATTTACTTGTTACCGAATAAATTTAAAGATATCAATAATTCGTTGATTAAATAAGTCACATAATCAGGGCCACATTTAGCCACGTACATTGTATAGACGGGGACGAGTCTCACGAGGACAATATTTTGAATAATTATACACCTTGTACTGAAATCTGATTGGTTCTAAGCTGCTGGTGATTTGGCCACATCGGACCTTTTCAAAAACCGACCAATCTCTTTCGAAACTGACCAATATTTTTTTAATATTGGTCAGGAGAATGTCCAGTATTTCTTGGAAGAATCCCACTAAAGAATTTCATTTCATTATAACTTGAGTATCATTTGAAATAAAATACACATACTGTATGCCAAACAACAGAAAAAAGAGTACCTAATCATTGAAAAAGCATTCGTTATAGTCAGAACTTGTGCGCAAAACTAAAAATAAAAAATAAAATCCCCGGCAGGACAAGACTTTTCGTTCGGTATATGGGTATAGGTAAACGGAAGTTCTAAAAATGAAAGTAAATTGTAACTTACACTCAAAAAATCGATTGAGAATAAGGTGCATAATAAAACAACTGATCATCCAGTATTTATATAAGACGCTGATTTTTACCTTTACGTTAAGTTCGCTTTTTGCTAATCAATATAGTTCAAATGATACATGATTTCTAGCTACAATTCATGGCAAGTAAACAAAAACAAAATAATTTGTAAATGAAAACATCGACAAATTATACGATAAAGTATAATTGACGCAATATTGGCATACGATTCCAGCGTCAAACATACAAATAAATACCCCGGATAATCATCTTTAAACAGTCACGCTAGACTGAGTTAATGGAAAAATTGAATGCCACCCTGGCGTGGAATGAATTATATCTCAAGATTCGATTAATAAAAAGTACAGAAGATCGTGTAAACGGATACTATGAATATGTAACCGCATGAAATCAGTTTCCAAAGACGTAAATGTCTCGTGAAAGGTTTAGGTCACACTATCACCAATATCTCTGAATACATTTCATATAATCGGACATGCCATTAATGAGCCATATAGTAACCTTTTTGATTCTCAAAAAATGTGAAAAGGTTTATTCAATTGGTTTTGATAAATATTTGTAATGGATGAATGAATGGCGGAGAGTAAACTTGCAATTAATATGTACGATTTACTACCATACCGAGACACATAATGTAATTCATCCCCTTCACCTAAAGCACAAGCCTACACATATTCGTTCTGAAGATCTGATGAGATGACAATTAAAGATGACACTAAAACGTGGGAATATAATTGAACTTATTCACTAAAGTTATAACTATAATATACATAATGGCCGTATCGCGCACTCACCTATAAGTTGACTCGGTTGTCTGCGGTGGAGCCGCATAAATTTCCGAGTTACGCCTAGATCCGGAAAATACCAGAGGTATGGGCTCTGGAAAAAAGATGGTCGATCTGCGCCTTTCAAAGTTGTACCCCGTCGGTAAATTCGTCATTTTGGCGTTTGAGGTGGAAAATTATATCCGTTAGCTTTATTTTTATTGATACGTATCATAGTTTATAATATAATTGAACGGTGAATCTAGAATATATCTTATTTCCTTTGAAACCATATATAGGTTCCTTGCACATAAGATTCCGAAACAAACCTCCTCGTATTAAATTTCATATACAAGTACTTTTAATTCATGCTGGATTTCAACTATTATTAATTACCTCATTCTTATTATCGGATCTTAATTTTATTATCCTGGTCCCGTATATAAGATTTGAGGAAAGGAAATTATTTACTTCCAAAGGATGTTCCCATGCTACAGAATATAGAAACACTCATTTGAGTGTTCAGCTTTAGGTTACTAGTATACGTTTCCGTTATTTCTTGGTTTTGAAAAATGAAATTTTTAGTTTATACAGACATATTTTGGTAGGTCTTTCGTAAATCTATTTTATGCCCACTGCAAGTAAAGTTCACATTTTCATTAATTATCAATTTCAAATTAAGTATAGTTCAGAAGATAAATAATACAACTTAGTTTCAATCATATCGCATATCAACGATCACTCATGTAACTCGTGAATACAATACAATACAATACTATGAATATTCAACCACACGAAATCTATTTTCCCAAGATGTACAGTAAATCCGTCAATCAGGTACCTGTCTAATCCGAACGCCATTTGGACCGGCTAAGAGTGTTCGGGTTCGGTGTTCGGTGCATTCGTGATTCTGGATTTTTGAGCTTGTAGCTTTATGGCATGCATTCATTTGATGACTGAGAAATATTTTCGAATTCGAAGGTGTTCAAATTAGCCAGGTGTTCGGATATACAGGTTTTACTGTATGACTCCCGTATACAGTTAAGGTCACACTAACTCATCTTTAAATACATTTCAGAAATCATCAAATCTGGCATGCCAGGATGTGTCATATGGCAAATTTTTATTCATTCTTGGATTCTGCGACGTGTCTAATTCTGAAGCCTATCATAGATTTCCATTCAATCAACAGGTGTACACCCAAAAGAACTCAAAATATTTGTTCATCAGTAGGTATGATATTTATTTACGTTAAGGTTACCAACCCACCTTAAGGTTTCTGGACCATAGTGCAGGCTTATAAACAAAGTATTGTTAAAAGGTGTGGACCCACCCAACATAATGTAGCCTCATTGATGTTTTGCAACCTAAATGGTTGCCTAAAACCACTCTGCAATGTCTAACTGAATGCATGTTCATCGATGAATGAATTAATGATTTAAGCCCTGGACTAAGTGCATTGTGAACTGATTATTCCTCAAAGGTGTTGTTTCAAACTTTGCACGAGATGCGTAGCATTGAGTGCTAAGTTTAGGAAACAATGCCCACGTGGAAAGAATCAGCCAAAATGCATTGAGTCCTGGGCTTGTTTTCACACATTGCAAAATATCTCACACAATATCACTTAAAAGATACGAAATGACTTAAAATAATACATTTTGAAGGAAACGTTTTGCAAGGGTCATGTTGTCACCTTGACAACCATTCAACACTTTCCTTTTGACCCACATAAGCTCTTGTCTTGTTATTCCCCATGATAGTGTTTATAGATTTTTACTCAACTGTGAAATTGATCAGTTTATCGGTTTCATAGGTTTCCCTAGGAACTAAAAATGACCTTTGGTGGGTTGTTGGTTATATGATGCAATGCAGTTATATGAAACAGCGTATTTGGATTGGCTGGAATTGGTGATTCAAATAGCTTAACTAAGAAACATCTAAGAGCAAAGTCAGTCATAAGGAAAACAAACCCACAATATCCTAAATAATCTCAAACTCAAACAATCTAGGACAGACAACATCCTGTCTCAAAGTCAATAGGAGTAAGTCCGCATTTATAAACAGAAACTTGATTCTGGTCTGCACCTTTAAATGGTCTCAGTAGTTCTTGAATTGATTTTAACTCGTTTAGATGTTTTGAAGTTCAATGATGCCAGCAGCTGCGCTCGCTGATCATGCACCATTTGCACGAACTAATTAATGGACGGCATCAAAGGAAATATTGTTTTCTTAAAAAAGGTATACCTATTAACATAGAATGTACTGTTTGGAACATATATCATAATATTATGGGTCTGTATTTTCTACAGCATGAGATCAACGGCCACCACCAGAATTAGAAATTCTTCATAGCCGCTCATAAATGTTATTTACCTATTGCTAAATGTACTATAAGTGCAAACACACGATCGTTTTTAAGTATAAACAGAGAAACACTCTCTCTGATCTATATATTCCTTTGTCCTTAAGGCCCTCCAGACTTCAGTTTTAACCCAAAACAACAAGGGATGCCACTTAGGGATATTTTATAATTTCGAAATGTTAAGTTAGGAACTACCGTGCATAACTTGCCGCGTTTTCGAGCATGCGTTTTAATTTGATCCGCTCACGTTTTAGGCCTGTATCTATACTAAATAGTAAAACACGTGATTAAAATCGTCCATAATTCATTGAGTCTTGAGCTTTAATCCTTTATTAAACAGAATTGTTCACATTCGGCTTCACCTAACTATGTTTTGATATGAAATATGTCCATGAATCTTGTGTTGCTAAGATGCGCTATTCCGCCATCTAAAGTATGTAACAGTTTACACTTACAAGGAAATTAAGCATTTTAAAATGTGCCACCAAATGTTATAACCTCTGGGACATAAAATATTTTTCCAATCTTTATTTTTGTTTTTTATTTCAATCAGGTATCGATCCATGCCGTCCTCACTACATGTTTATTTAAGTTCATCAAAAGTCTACGAAAACACCGACTCAACAGTCAGGAAAATAAGTCACGTTGTTCCTGGGGCTAGCGATGCTAACAGGGGTTAATGACATCATAGATAACAAGAGGTTCCGACTAATTCTTTTCATATCTCAGCATGTACAAATTGGCATACCGTATCTCTCAATATTGTCAAAATGGTTGAATAAATGCCATAAAAAGTATGAGTGATGCCAAACTTAGAACTTGCTTAATTGATGAAGTTTTCAAATAACTCTGGTAAACTTTACGGAAGAGAAAAGCTGGAAGTCTCCCATTGTGAAGAAATGGTTGATTGAAGGTAAACTTTAAATAAAATTGACAGAACTGACGTACGATTTGAATCCAAACGCTCCCTATGATCACTTACACGCAAGATGTGCGAAAGTGAAATTAACTGCTTTTGATAAGAATTTGTAATGGTTGTATGTATGGAGGAAAACTTGTAAATATAAGTATGATTTACTTTCACATTAAAAAAAAGACCCTCCGATCCCTATACATGTACCCTGTGTCCCACACCAAAGGCACACTAGCCTAAACAACCTCTCTGTAAGGCCTATGCCAAATAACACACTCTTGTCTACTCGTACTGGGGACTTTAGTTATCCATCCTAAGTTATAATGGCCGTATGGCGGACTTACCTATAGAGTGACGCGGCCGTCTGCGGTTGGGCCACATAATTAACGTTGGTGTCCGAGTTACGCCTAGATCCTGAGAATTCCATAGGAATAGGCTCTGGAAAAAAGACGGTCGATCTCCGCCTTTCAAAGTTGTACCCCGTCGGTACACTCAACATTTTGGCCTTTAGAGTAGAAAATAATATCCTTAATTTCTAGTTATTTGTGTCTTCATCGGAGCTGCCATTATTAAGATGGCAAAGAACTTATAACGATATGGAACCTCTAGCTTCTTAACTTGATCCGAGTTTAACAGTCCGTTTTCTCCTTAAGCTTTCACTAATTTTGCCATTTACTGCGAACACCGTGACCATGGTATGTTGTTTATCGCATCATCCCTTATCTATCGGCGTTCTTTATTTATGCCATTTTCAGTGTATTTTTCACAGAAATATGATCGGTTATCCGCAAATGTACCGTAACGACTCTACCTTTACGCTATGTTACTCACTGGGAGTCAATGTAACTAAATATAACCCACAAAAACTTTGCGGTTCCGTCTTTGAGTGAACTTATCTTTCCAGGTTGTGGGCAGAAAGCGGACTTAGCGTTCACGACACAGCGTTCAAAGTCCGTTATCTCTTATTTTACCTTGCCACAGCGCATAGTTGTGATAGCCAGCAAATAAACCTGACGAAACAATAAATATTTACCATTATGCGTCTCGTATTTGGAATACAGCTTATCCATGTCTAGAAGTTGTTAATATTACATCTACGGGAAAATAATAATGTAACTTAATTCTCTGCGAAGTTATTCTTTAGTTTTCATCAATCACTTAATGAGGCCCTTACAAATAAAAGTTAGTTTTAGCTCCATAATCTGCAATATCGTGTCATCCAAAAAGCTCGGTGGTTAAAATACAGTGATACTTTTGTTTAATTGTTTTTTGGCCAAGAATTTAGTGAATAATAGGTTTCAATACGTTTTTCATTTTGACAGATTGTTTTGTAAAGTTTATTAAATATTATAATAAAAATCGTCTGTCATTTTGATCTCGAAACATCCGCTTTTAAAAGAGACAGTTAAACTACTAGCCAGGGTCTGACCTTTGTCGAGCATGAATGATTCCCTTGTACAAAATCGGTTGGGCTTCAAAGTGACGTAATCCAAAGCTTCAAAACATTAACTAGATACATTTATGACCATTGCTGCTACTCTATGTCGTTCTAAAGTTTTTTTTGTTGACATTTACTACCCGCGAAGCACCAATAACCGCAACCCTTAATTATTCAGTAATCACCAATCACCTACAACTTCCGACATAAAAACAGCGCGTATTTTTTACTTTCTCTGACATAAGTTGGTTAATGAAAACCCAATACGACCTACCCTTCGCAAGGTCGACTTCACCCGCACTCTTTTAATTAAAATTAATTCTTTGATTTGGCTTAGATACTCAATCAGAATATGTAGTAAAAAAATTAAGATACAATTAGTGGCTTAGCTATCATTCATACATGCACATACTTTCAAAATCCCATAAAAGACTATGGAGGCTACATTTGAGATCGTCAATGT